CTCTCTGTGTCTGTCTATGTGTGTGTGTCTGTCTTTTTGTCTGTCTGTGTTTCTATGTGTGTGTATCTGTTTTCCTGTGTCTGTCTGTCTGTGTTTGTCTGTGTCTATGTTTGACTGTCTGTCTGTCTGTGTGAGTGTTTCTGCATGTGTTTGTCTGTCTGTCTGTGAGTCTATCAGTCTGTGTCTATGCATCTGTGTGTGTTTCGGTGTGTGTAATATGATGCTTGTGTAAGTGTGTGTCCAGACGGACACACATGTGAAGCAAGGGATGACCGGCCAGCATCATTCCTCAGGAGCTGTCAACCTTGTTTTTGGAGACAAGGTCCCCCACTGGCCTAGGTAGGCTATGTTGCCTGGCCAGTGAGTCTCAGAGATCCACCCTTCTCTGCCTCCTCAGCACCAGAATTACAAGCTGAGCTTCTTAACGTGAGTTCTGGGGGTTGAGGTCAGGTCCTCATGCTTTTGTAGCAGGCACCGGCTAAGCAAAGGATACCTGCTCCTAAAACTACAAAAGTTACCCGCCACCCCATTCTTCCTCACCATAGCCAGGCTCCCCATTCTTCCTCACCATAGCCAGGCTCCCCATTCTTCCTCACCATAGCCAGGCTCCCTCTTCTTGGATTCTGCTAGCTCACTATGCATATCCCCTTGTTGTGACTACTCTAAACACCTACATCGGCCCCGTCTCCCCCGCCACACACACGGTGTAAGTGCAGACTTCAGATGGGACTGTAAGAGTTAGAAACCCAGAGCACACTCTGGGGCCAGACAAGCTCTGGATCACACTCCAGTTGTCCCACTTCCTATTTTTGTAACCTTGAGAAAAGTGTTCTGTCACTTGGGACCTCGGTCTCCCTGTGTAAATAAAAGAAGAACAGCAATTCCCACATCACTGAGTTGCTCAGAGAAGTGGATAAGGCCATGCACGAAGGCCAGGCACAGGGCCTGTCATCTACAACTCTCATGCCCGTGAGCTGCCTCGATAATGCCCTCCCCGGACTCAGAGTACTGCACACCGAGCACCAAGCAAGGCTCTGCATGTTCTCAACATCAGCAGACGTTCAGTTACTATCTGCCATGCTTCCCACCCTCAGCGCCGTGTCCCCAAATCAAAGCTGCACAAGGCACAGTCCACATCCTGTAAACTGTTCCATTTCTATGTGTCTCCAACACCCAATGCCCAGCACACAACAGACCTCAAATGACCCTTGCAGAGTTGAAGACAATTTAAAGTTTAGTTATGTGCACTATCCCTGTTCACGTGGTTTGGGAGGAGCGTGGAAGAAGAAGAAGAAAGCATGACAGAGAAGCGTGTGAGTGTGATGTTCTTCACCCTTCAAAGCAAAGAGCACATGTGTTTATACGTAACCTGTGTGCTTCAACTTAAAACTCTCAAGGCTTACAGTTGTGCCTCTAAGAAGGCATCAGAATCCCTCTGTGGTGGATGAACAAACTTGGACAAAGGGACTTCTACCAAGTCACAAAAGCAATGTGAGAGTGTGCAGCAGCTGCCTAGGTACAAGCGGTCCCACTGCAGGGGCATACCGGGACCTTGGCACCCAAGGGAAATCAACAACTCTGATAACCACTCCAGCTACTCCAGGAGGAGAGTGGCTTCTGACTGGTGTGTGAAAGCCAGCATGTGCGCCAGAAACTACACTAGATATGAAGGGAATGGGGAAAACTGCAACTGAACAAGCCCCCAAAGGCTCAGAAGCACAAGTGACCTCAGCCTACAGCCCCATATCAACAGCCCAACATTAATTTACAGAGATAGAAAGTTTGAGTGTCTCATTTTTCTTTGACTGGGGGAAAAAAACATAGCTATCAGAGCCTGCCTTTACCACTCCTAATCAGCATCAAGGATAAAGTCCAAAAGAGAAAGGACAGTCACCTAAAACCCTGGCATGGGCACTTGGGCAAAAACCAGTTATGCGGGCACAGCTGTGAGGCTTACCATGGAGGCAGGCTGGGCCTAGAAACAATCAGCAAGAGATAAAAGACACTTAAGCACAGATGCCTTCTAAAACCAAAAAGCTACTAAAACTTAGCCTCTGCAGAAGGAAAAGCTAGCAGGAAAACTGTACTCTCTTATTTCTGAAATAATAAAAAAAAAGAATAAGGGTTCATCACTTGCTTTCGTTGGTTTTGCTCCAGTGAATATTTGTGAGAAGCCAACTAGGCACTTGTGCATAGTCTGTTTCCTTCCTACTCGTTTCCACAGACACATACCAGGCACTGTCCATGGTATCGCAGTTTACGGAGGAATCAAGTCTAATGAAGCTGGGGCTGCAGAGATGGCTCAGTGGGTAACAGCACTGGCTAGGCCAGTGTGAGAACCTGAGTTCAGACTCCAGCACCCACATAAAAAGTTGGACACACACACACACACACACACACACACACACACACACACACCTGTAACCCAAACCCAGTAGGCAGGTGGAAGGCAGGAGATGACTGGGTCTTACTACCCACCAGCCTAGCTTCAGGTTCAGTGAGGGGCATGTTAGACACTTAACATCCTCTGCTGGTATGTGAGAAAGGGTGAGAAGCAGGGGAGAGAAATGGAGGTGAAATACAGCTCTCTCTCTCTCTCCCCACGCCCCCCCCCATTAGGGTACAGAGTACAAAGTCTAACATGAGAACACACTAGAAGCAAAAATGCTTAGGGAATATTTCCCCCTAAGCCCTTTCTCTGAGATGTGACTTCAGCTCTGACCCCGTGGTCATGGCAGAAGAAGGTCACATTTTATAGCTGTCATTCAACCTCCTAGTCCTGTTTGACCTACTTGCAAACAAGGCCCTCTCCTTCCAGAGAGACATTAGAAAAGAAAGGAAATAAACAGTCATTTTGCTGGCAGAAAGAAAAAAAAAGAGGAAGGATAGAACAAGTGAGCAAACAAATGAAGATGATAGATAGATAGATAGATAGATAGATAGATAGATAGATAGATAGATAGAGAAATTATATATATGTATAGAGAGAGGGAAAGAGAGAGACAGAGAGGGATGGTAGATAGATGCAGGCAGTCTGACTATTGGCTAGAACTCTTTTACACATGTAGACCTGGACAATGGAGACCCACATCCCACTAAACACAGAGAACCAGACTGCAGAAAAGAGAACCATGAAGCACAGACGTTGCTACAGACACAGGAGGACTGTGTGGGGAAGGAATCCTACAGACATGTTCAGAAGCTCCTGCCTCAGTGCAGCTCTTCCTGAAGCCAGCAGCCAGCCTCAGCACCACGCACCATTCCAGTGTGTTTCCTAAAGTGTGTTTCGTCACTTGTAGTCACGGATTCCTAGCATACTCAAGGAGCGTAGGCACAGCACAAGTCTGCCCCAGCCGCATGACATTCACCGTGCTGAGAAGGTAAGGGCTTTACCGCATCTGCTTGTCGGCAGAGAGTGAACGCTTACATGGGGTGTAAGTTTACAGCCTATGTTTCACTACTTCCCTTTAGCCTACATTTCCTAGTACCTAGCAGAGCACAGGTTCTCTCCCGTGAGAAGAAGATAGGCGAGACAGAAGGAGAACATCGGCTCTGCTCATTTAATCATCTTTCACCAATATGATGGGAATGCAAATCACCTCGAGGTTCTTACACCATCAAGACTAACAACTGTTAACAGGTAAAATACCAAGTCACTCGGGGAACTGACAACATGCATTTATCTAAAGTGAGGTGAGCATAACCCACGATGAATACAGACTGCCATCCGTCTTCACAGGGACCACAGATAGGGTTTGATTTTACTTTTTTACAAGTGACTCTGTGCAGCCAATTTAATAATAAGAAACCTCAACTCAACTTTTAAATATTATCTCTCCCAAAAGAGATTCCATCCTTTTGATGAATAGACTTATGTGCAAAACAATTATGCTTAATTATTATTATAGCTTTTCTAATATAGGATTTAATAGATGAACAAGGAGTCAACTCAGTCAGAGACAGAGTAATAAAATTAATTTTCTCACCAGGGGCATTATTTTGAGATTGCAATTTTGCAGATAAGATGGCGATGGTGTTATTTTCTTTTCCTTTTTTTTTTTTTTATAATAAATGCACATACTATGGTCTAGCAATAAACAAGCCAATGATGTATCAGTGAGTAAAAGTGACGTCGGACCTTCTATGAGTTCAACTACTCCCTTCCAGCCTAGGCTAAACCAGTCAGGATCCATGACAGAAACCCCATTACCTAGGCCAAGAACACATCACACACCTCAACAGCCCAGTGCAGCACGCTTCAGAACTGACTGAGACTGGTTTACCCTTGGCTCAATGGAGAAGGTTAAACACTGGTCTTATATAACAATCATTGAGGAAACTTTGTGGAAACATTCATTTGTTAACTCCCCCTTTTATCATATATGTCTATGATATTCTTCTACTGTGCCTTGCCAGCTGAAACCTCCATGTTTTCCTTTTATTTTTTTATTTTTTGCACTCATGGTAAGTTTTTATTTCACTTGGGTGAATCCTAGACGTTTATCTTATAGTTGTTATGTGAAAATATAAATTATTTTTCAAGCATTGATTCATAGTCTTAATATCATAGGTCAGCTTTGATGTAGTAAATTTCGAAATATTTGGGCAATGGCTCATGTCAAGAAACACATTTTATAACATAGCCCAGTTTCACATTCAATCACATATATAAACAACCAGAGTAGACATTCCATCAAATAACATGTGCAATAAATATTTTCCTATGATACAGTATTTTTTTTTTAATTCTAGACAATGTCACTAAATTGAGTTTAAAAACTAAGAGGTCGCAAACCTCTACCTGTAAAACTACAGCTAGACAAATATTATTTTGTTAATTAATATTATGCTGTGACAATTCCGTGCATGTAGATAATGCTTTCTGCTCACTCTCGCCTGCCTGTCAATCCCTTTTTTCCCTCATTGTTTTCTTAATTTTTTTTTTGTGCACTCCATGTTTTCTTAAAGCTAATGTTGGTTCAGAGTGGAAACAAGCTTACCTTCTGGGCTCCTTGTCTTAAGAACTTACTAGCAAAAGTTTCCAAAACACGGTTAAGAAATCCAGCCCCTGTGATTGAAATTCTGCCTGTTTGAATGAACTCTGTCCTGAAAGAAAGAAAGAAAAAAAAGACAGAAAAGACACACAAAATCATCTACATGAATTAGCATCTGCATAAAGTAAAATAAAACAGCCATGAGCTTGGGAGCGTGGTTGAGAAGAGCCAGCGAGAGTGGGAGGAGGGGAAGGAAGGGTGATGGGGTATAAATACAAAACAATGCAATTTTTTACATGTAATTGTCAAAAAAAAAAAACCTCATCTTTCATGTTACTTTGCATTTGAATATGTAAATTATACACTTTCCGCAGCATAATTACTACTCACAATTAACACAAAATAATATCCATAATAATTGAGTAATTACCTATTACAACAAAATATTCTATTTAAGGTTGACCTAACTATATACCATTTATACAGTATAAAAAAACAATCATTGAATTAAAGAATATCCATTTCACCAGGCAAAATGCCTTTTCAAGAAGCTACCACAACCATTTTTGCTATATTGATATAGTTTCCAATTGCTTTCTAAACCTTTAATTCTCATTTAGTGCAGCTCTCATTCTTACCTAAGAAGTGTTCTTTGTTTTTATAGCAGATGGAAGCCATTGCAAAGAACTAACAACTGGCCAAAAAGAAGTGACTGTGAAGTTCCCTTGCATAAATTGGACATTTAATACACAACCCCTGGGCCCAAGGTTCCGGCAACATCCGAGAGGAGGGGCAGAAAGAACCAGACAAGAGCCAGAGGTTGGCGAAGACTGGGGTCCTCTGTACACGATGAAGATGCGGCAGCCATGGACTCCCAGCAGCTCTGGCTGCCTGCACAAAACCTAAGGAGACCGAACAGTCAACATTCCAGCATGGACGGGGAAGGGCCCTACACATAAATAATTACAGATGAAGAGAACATGAAGTTGAAAGGGAAGGAGGGACATGACAGGAGTTGAGAGGGATATAGATATGATTAAAATGCCATGTATAAAATTCAAAAATAAAAACACATTAAAAAGAAATTATCACTCTTTGGAGGACGGTGGTGTTTTTCTTAAGACAGAGTTTCACTATGAAGCCCTGGCTATCCTGGAACTCTGTAGGCCAGACTGGCCTTGAACTCAGAGATCCCCCTGCCTCTGCCTCCCAAATACTGAAACTAAAGCAGTACAACTGCTATGCCCACCTAGAAACTATCACTCTTAATTTGCAATTGAGTGAATTACAGTTCAACTAACGTCCGAATACATTTATTTTCATGGTAATCAGGACCAAGAGCCCCTTTCATTGTATGACTAATTAATATGAACTTTCTCCGTGACAATAAATGTGGTTAGCTCCTCTCTTTAAAAGTAAAATGCCTCTTAAAAATTTGAACGCAAGACAAGTATCAGCTTCCTGACCCTGAATAAATTATTTACTTTCTCTAACCAATTTTCTCATATGTAAATGGGATCATAACATCACCTGCTTACAGCTATTGTAATAAAGGAGTTTATACATATAACACGGACAGGAAGGATGACTGACATGTGCTAAGCATTTGCTAAATTCTAGCAACAGTTGCTAAAGAGAGACAAGCAAACACAGAGACTGCAAAGCCCAAAGCCTGAAGTAGTTATTGAATCCTGGACAGGGGCTAGGAGTCACAGGGAGCAGATGTGATTCCATTTCTATCATTTTAATTACCAAAGTTCTACCAATATTAATTATCCCCATCCCATAAAACAGAGATTTGGATCACACTTGAGAATGCTGTAAGATGGCTGAACAGGAAGCCTCCAGCTCTCATCCTCCGGTGAACACAATGATTTAACAAAAATACACAAACAAAATTGCCTTTGAAACCAATTAAGAGGTGGAGCACACCCAAGTGAGGGCACAGCCCAGATCGGTCATGTCAAAGCAAGTGAAAAGTGTGATGCTATCACTCATTGTAGGAGAAACTTCTCTCTGGCTGACACAGAACATCTGAAACAAGCAACTGAAGCAAGGCGAGGCTTGTACTGTTTATTGATGGTGTTGTTTGCTGTGAGACCACGGGTCTTGTAAATCCAGGCTGACCTCAAGCTCTGTGTGGTACGGACTGGCCTTGACATCCTGATAATCCTGTCTCCAGCCCCCAAGTGCTGACACACACCACCATGCCTAGCTGGGAGGACAGGTGTGTTTCAGGTCCTGGTTCCTGGGATATAATCTGTCCGGATGGGAAAGTCCAGCTGCCAGCCAGCGCTGGTCCATGCCATTGGTAGGCTACTTGCTCATATCTGAGTGGATTCACAAACCAATTCAGGAAAAACCATTGACTCAGCCGGGACCTCAGGTTAGGGGACAGTGCCACCCACACGGTGCAGATTTTCCCCAGTCTAGCTTAATCCAGGCTGGAAAACCTCTTACAGATAGATACACTCAAGCCTGCGCCTTACTACTGTCCTACGTGTCCCTTAGTCCATCACACTCCTGATGGCTCCCTGCCAACTCGCACAGCAGAGCAGAATGGGGAGAGAGCGAGGAAAGCCAGCTTCTCCCGCAGAAGGAAAAGGAGATGAGGGTACATCCAACACGCGTTGTTTTCACAGGCATTGCCTGGGGACAGGACCCCAGGGAAGGGAAGCAGCATGCTTGGAGGCTTGGTGGTCACAAAGAACAGGCACCAGCACAGCAGGCTGGTACAGCCCTTAACAGCCTGCAATTCCACAGGCAGACCACCAGCAGAACCAAGAGATTACCAACTCAAGACCTCTGCATCTGTGAAATCAGAGTCCCAGAGAAGATATTCAGAAAAACCTCGAGAGGCCTGCACACTCCAGATGGGCTGATTTGTGAGGCTCCTCTGTAAAAAGCCACCCCGTGACAAATGGAAAGAGGTGGTTATTGTTTCAAAAACCCAACTTTCTCTGAAAGTTCACAGGACTTACACACACACACACACACACACACACGCACGCACACACACACAAGCATGAAGGAAAATGGCCCAGTCACGGGAACAAATAAATTTGTAAAAACTCACCCTAAAGAAACAGGCATATGAATTTGAAATAATTATTTATTAAAATGTTCAATTAGCTAAGAAAAATCCAAACAACTAAATGAATTCAGGAAATTTAAATGTGAACAAGGTGAGAATATCAACAAAGTACCTAAAGGACAGAAAACAACACCATCAAGGAACGTGAGGACAGGCTGCTCAAAGTGGAAAAACAAATGAAGAAACGTGGGGAGATCTTTTGAGACATGTGGATGCTGTCAGGCGGGCCCACATTACATCTATATATTACATTCTATTATTCACACTTGTGGCATCTTAAAGGAGAAATCATTGAGAATGGGGAAGAGAGATCATACAAAGCAATAATGGCCCTAAATCCCCAAATTTAAAAAAGGAAATGTGCATGCAAATTCAAAATCTCAACAAAGTCCAACTAGGAGAGGTCTAAAGAAATCTCCATCAGACACATCGCACGGTCTCAAGAGTCACAGGAGAAGACTAAAAGCAGAAGGAGAAAAGCAACTGTCTCACAAGGGAGCTTCCCGGAGTTATCAGCAGATTTTTCTTTCATCAGAAACTTTGCAGGCTGGAGAGAATTGGGTTAATATATTCAGAACACCAAAAAAAAAAAAAAACAAAAACCAAGAACTCAGTGAAACTACCTTCCAGAAATGAAAAGGAAGTTAAGATTTCTAGCTATACAAAAGCCGAATGTATGCATCTCCACTAGAGACTTGGGCTATGGTTAACCTGGCCTAACTCATTTGCTGAAACCTGAAACCACAGACTGCAAGGTTACCATAAGCTATATATTACGTATCTCGTATAGTCACACACACACAGAGCTAGGGAGCTAGCACACACCGCAGAGGTAGGATAACTGCTCGGTGGAGAAGAGTGCTTCCTGGCAAACATGGGGACCGGAGTTCAAGTTCCCACATTAAAAACTAGGTGTAACCATGCACGCTTGCCTGTAGCCCCAGAGCAGATGGAAACAGGACGATCATGGGACGACTTGATCCGTGGGACTTGATGGCAGCATAGCTCCTGATTCAGTGAGCATTCCTGTGTCAGGGAAATTGAGCAGGACACACAGCGTCTTCCTCTGGCCTCCACACACACACACAGAGATACCCATGCCCTGCCCCACACAAATATGCACATCACACACAGACACCATACTACACCAAAATGACAGCCCTGAGGATCGGTTCTATAAAGACAAAAACATTCTTTTTTAAACTGCTGGTGTTAAGAAGAAACATTTTCAATTAAGGAACTTGCTCACTTTGGCTAGCCCTTCATTTCAAGTCCTCGTAAAGCCTCACACACATGCTTACAGTCCAGTGTGATGGAGGCCTTCTCTCAATTGTGGTCCCCTCTCGGGTGACTTTACCTTGTGTCAAAATGACAAAACACATACACACACAAACACACACATGCACACACACACACGTTATCTGAAAATGCCCATACATTTTCGTCAGTTTTGCTGTAGACTTGGGAATTGCACCAGATGGGAGATAAAAGTGACAAGGTAGGCAAATGCCAGACAGAGGGGAGTCTGGGGCTTTGGAGTCAGATGTGATCCCAAATGAAAAAGACTTCCTGGACCGCGGGGTAACTGACACGGATCAACAGCTGCTTGTTCACCAGTGACCTTTGTTGTCACCGCTGACGCCTGTAGACGGTCCCTTACACCCCATTTGCAGTGCAATTCTTACACTTACTGAGTGCAACCACGTTTGTTAAATGAACTAGTTAAAATCCTTTGCAATCAAACTACTCAGTACAGACAATGTTTTCTCGAATCTCCCTACCTGCTGACATCTTAGAGAGGAGAAAGGACCCAAGTCTCCTGTGTGTATGTTCCTGTATATATACCCATATGTGCATACCTCCAACCGTACACACACACAAAATATATTCTAAGAAACATTGGACTCAAAATGACATGATTTTAGTCAATATAGCTAGTACGGCCTTGTCCTTCCTGTTTTTTTTTTTTCCCCAGTGCTGAGTATTCAGGGCTTCATGCAAGATGATGAGTTCTCACT